TTGATAACTAAAGCTTAATATTTAAAGGGAATTAAGAGTATACTGATCTTGATGATTATTGAGAAATGTATAGAATTGTTGAGCCATAATACTGTATACCTGAAACTAATATAAAACTGTATGTTAATTATACTTGAATAAAAACTTCTATCTTGCGCCACCTGGGTGAGTCAGTTGGTTGAGCATACAACTCTTGATTTTGGCTCTGGTTATGATCTCATGGTTCCTGAGATCAAGCCCCATGTTGGGCTCTGGGCTGATGGTGTGGAGCCTGCTTGGGATTCTTTCTCCTTTCCTCTTTCTCTGCCCCTCCCCTGCTTGCATGCATGTACTCTCATTCTCTCTCGGTCTGTCTCTCTCTCAATGCAGAGCCCAATGCTGGGCTTGATGTAACCACCTGAGCCACACAAGCATTCCTATAGTGTTTTTTAAATAGGGTATTTTAAATACTCCTTTTTATAGTTCATTTTTATTATTTTTTTCATTATGATATCAGTGTTTCTAAAATTCCAGCTAATTAACATACAGTGTAATATTAGTTTCAGGTGTACAATAGATTTTTTTTTTTTTTTTACAATTGACACTTTAATTTTTTAAAGCAGTTTCAGGTTCACAGTAAAATTGAATGGAAAGCATAGAGATTTCCTTCATGCCCCCTGCCCCGACACATGCATATCCTCCCCCATTTGTCTATTTATACTTAATTTCATTTTTGACAAAATAAAGTTTGGTCAGGTCATTGAGAAGTTAAAGGTTTTTATTCCTATTTCTGGCTTCCATTGTTTATGCTGAGAAGGCATTTGCCAATCTTACTGTTCCTTTAAAGGTAATAATCTTTGTTCTGTGGTTGTTTTTAAGAACTTTGTCCTTACATTATAGCATTACTTAATGTTTATATGCTGCTGAAGTGAACACTGCATTACTTAATGTTATTTGGTATCATTTATTTGTATTTGTGCTGCTGGCACTTTTAAAATCTGCAAATTTTTTCCAGTTTTCACCAAAAAAACTCAGCCTTGTCTTTTAAATATTGCTTGCATCCTATTCATTCTCTATGAGAATTCAATTACTCACGTTAGATATTTTAATTATATCCCATATCTCTTATGATCTTTTTAGTTTTTTTCTTACTGTTTTGCTATCTTCATATTTCAGTTCATAAACTGTCTTATCTGTCTTGTACTATGTTAATTTCTTCTTCAAATCTAGAATGCTAATTTAAGAATTCTAACTGCATCTTTTTAAAAAATTCTGTGTGTTTTGGGGTGCCTCGTATCTCAGTTGGTTAAACATCTGACCCTTGATCTCAGCTCAGGTCATGATCACACAGTTTGTGGGTTTGAACCCTGGATCAGGCTCTGTGCTGGCAGCATGGACTCTGCTTGGTATTCTGTCTCTCCCTGTCTCTACCCATCACCTCCCCCCACAAAAAAAAATAATAATAATAACCTTTAAAAAAATGAAAAAAGTTCTATGTGTTTTGACAATACCTATTCAATTATTGCAATCACATATCTTCCTTTGTATTCTTGAGCCAAGTTATATAATAAGATATAAAATGTTTATTGATTACAATATCTGGGTCTTCTCAGAATTATACTTATGTATTTTTTTCTGAATTATGTTTCACATTTCCCCCATTTATATCAATCTTTTATAATGTTTGGATTATATGTTGAATATTTTGAGTGATACCCTTTCTACAAAGAGTATTCTTATTTTTTCAGAGTTATTTTTCCCTGTTGCACTCAGTTCAAACCCTACCTTCTTTGCAGTGGAAAAAGAATCTCTGATTTGTTTCTCTGGTCTTAGCTGGGATTCTTGGAGTTTAATCCTCATATACATATATCAGTGATCAGTCAGATATTTACATCCAATAAATGCAGAATTTGGGGAGAAGTGGGATATTAGAGTTTTTACCCCAAATTTGCTGTTTATCTATTTTGTCGATAATTTCCACCTTTATCTACAGTTGCTATATTCACTCTACTTTATGCTCTAGTTGTTAAAGCCTGTGGGTATAGTGTCAATCTGATAGTATCTATCCAAGATTTTGCCACCCTACATGGTTCTGATTGTTGTTTATTTTCAACATGGAATTTTAAACATGTAAATAACCAGTGTTTTTCTTTTTTTCCAAATCTCTAACCCTTTAAATTCGCCTTTCCTTGGTGACCTAACATTGCCCTCGAGTACCAGTTTTCATATGCTTTCTAGGGTTTTTATTTGTTATCTATAGGGTGGTTGGTTTGATAGAAGCTACGTTATCATTACATGTAAACTCCAATTCTTCTGTCAGCTGAATTTATCCCACTTGATGGTTAATTTTAGTTATTTTAATAATTATTTACTTAAGAATAAGTAATTGAATAGAGATGTACTTTTAACCTAATCTTTTCATTTTTACTGTTTATGTAGAAGCAACTTGTTTTAACTAATTTATTTTCACACAATTTTTTAAAAACAATATATTGTTTGGAGCAATTACTACAGATATTATAGTTCCCTCCTTTATTAGATATTTTATTAAATTGTAGACTAAGGTTTGGATTTACTGCATTTTTTTCCTTTTGTACCATCTGTTTTGCTTGATTTTTCTATTCCTGATACCCAGTTCCTGCAGTCTTCTAATTATGATTTGCAATTTTGGTATGCAGAAGTTGAAATTCTAATGCAGTTTTACAAATCTACTTTTACAGTCAAGGGGAATTCAATATTTAGATTTCAGAATGTCTACACTTATTCATATTTCTATTCAATGAAAACAAAATAAAATCTCCCATGCTGTAGTAAATACTAGTTATTATGAACACAATGATGGATAGGAACCTAATGTTTGTCCTTAAGGATTGAGGCACATGCAATTAAATCATTACAACATAATCAATGTGATACAATGTCCTACACTATCCAGAATTGATAGGTAAAAAGTACTAGTGTCCCAAATTTCATCTTACGGAAAATAGTTGGCTCTATTTAACTGTACATTTAACCATAAATTCCTTAAGATAGCTTTAGCATTTCTCATAGATGTTTTTTTTTCCCCTTTTTAAAAGAATCCCTGAGGATCTTTCTCATTTATTACCTTTCACAAGGATTTTGCACATCACGTAACATGTAAGATGCCTTCAACCCAATTCTGTTTTTATACTCACAAAATCACCTTGTGCTGTTCTCACATAATGTTGCAATGATTGAAATGTTGGCAGCTCGTTTATTATGATTTTAACACTTTAAAATATGGGATTTATAAAAGATGTTAGAGACTCTAGAATACTAACACACAAATCGCACTTTGCTTCTAAGTTAACATGCGTACATATTTCTGCAAGGTCAACTACAAGAAAACATATCTACTCACCAAGAAAGGAATGGAAAGTTGTCTCAAAAACCACAGTGACAATACCCAAAGGCCACTACCTCAAATAGAATAATTGTCAACCAGTTCTAATGAATTTATTCATCATTTCTTTCACCAGAGAGAGTGAGAACTCTTTCTTATATGTCTTTGTGTTCTCAGTTCCTACTTAAGTTTTACTTTCAAAGCAAGAGTTAGGAAATATTTGTTACCCTAAAATGACAGCCTACTATGTGTCCAAACTGAGCTTGGTGAGAGTTGTGAGTAAATTCTAATATACTTGTCCTCAAGGAATTCACAAAATTGGAAGAGACAGGCCAATGAGCTAAACATTAATTGTGATTATGCAATTGAAATCACATTAATGTGACTGTAATTTGATACTACAGGGTATTATGAGACCACAGTGAAGGACCAACCTTGGCTTCTTTTATAAAATAGCTGCTTAATTACAATTATGAGTCATGAATGACAAATAGGAAATTCCCAACTAAACTAAGAAAGATGTCTCTGACAGCAATCCAAACCAGTGTATAAATAGCATGGAAGCAAGATAAAATCAAACCCTTTTAAGGAAATTTCAGCAATTCGGTATGTTGGGAAGTCAGCTAATATCAGGTCAAAATGATTCATAGATTTATTCCTAAGGAGATCTGGAATGATGTGGCACACTTGAATTAGGAAGAAACATTCTAGATGTGTGGTGAATGTTTCTGTTCACTCAGTGCCTCCGTGTGATAGAACTCTTATTTCATTATTCTGTTACCTACATTTTTAAACTTAGTTAATTTGTTTTAGGGAAATAAATCTAATTCTAGCTTCTAGGGTGAGCATCGGTTGTTCTCAACACCCAGGACTTCCCAAATTTTATTTTTTAATGATCACACATATACATAATGTAGAATTTCAAGATACATTAGGATAAATGGCTGAAACTGCTCTCAACAGGAAGAACCAGATGAACCTCCGCTGACTACGCTCTACTTTTTGGAGGATACAAAGATTCTTGAATCTCAGCACATCTGTAATGCAATGACAGTACTTCATTGGAGAATGAAGATATATTAATTATATCTTTTTGTACTTCACTGGAGAATGACTCCTTTAAACACTATATTAATTATATCTTTTTGAGTTATGAGACCATGACATTTATGTTTCTGTATCTTACTGTTCTTCATGGCCTATGTTTGACAATATTAGATTGAAGGGATGAACTGGAAGAGAGTGATGTTCACTTTTATGCATCAAGGAGCTCTATAGCCCTTGTTGATATGCACAGCCATCTCATTATCATGAAGGGCAGAAAACATAAGAAGAAACTGACACACAAAAGATAGAATGGAGAGCCCTGACACACAAAGATAGACTCTTTCAGCAGATTGCAAAGCAGCTGTTTTGGCCATCATGAAGCCTAACTCCATATACTACAAAATAAGCCTACCTAGTATTCAAATCCAAAAGTACATGTACTGGGCCACCTTCATATTTGCTTCTTAACCTTCTAATTAAAAATATATCATAAATGCCAAGTTTTATATCAAATGTAGTGGGGAAGAGATTGTCTTCTCTATATCCTCACCGACACTTGCTATTTCTTGTCTTTTATATATTAGTTATTCTGACTATTGTGAGATGATACCTCATCATGGTTTTCACTTGTATTTCACTGACGAGTGATGGTGAGCATCTTTTCATGTGTCTGTTGGTCATCTGTATGTCTTCATTAGAAAAATGTCTCTTCAGGTCCTCTGCAATTTTCTATGTTGGGAAGTCAGCTGGTATCAAGTCAAAATAATTTATAGTTTTATTCCAAGGTGACATGAAATGATATAGCACACTTGAATTCTCTGTGGTTTTTTGGTGTTGAGTTGTATTAGCTTCTTATATATTTTGTACACTAACCGTTTAGCAGACATGTCATTTGCAAACATCTATTACCATTTAATAGGTTGCCTTTTTGTTTTATTGATGGTTTCCTTTGCCATGCAAAAGCTTTTTATTTTGGTGTACTCCTAAAACTGAAAATAGAAATACTGTAAAGTCCAGTAATTGCACTACTGGGTATTTGTGTGCATGCACGAAAACACACACACACACACACACACACACACACACAACACACACACATACACAACATTAATGTGAAAAGATATATGTACCCATATATTTATTGCAGCATTACTTACAATAGCTAAGATATGAAAGTAACCCAAGTTCCATCAATAGATGGATCATGAAGACATGGTATATCTATATCTATATACTCTATTATCTATATCTATAATGGAACACTGACATTTAAAATTCTGGTAGAAACAGATGATTTTGCAAATGGGATTCAGGAGTACTGAGTGTTCAGGAAGACCACAAAGAAAAGAAATCTGGGTAAGAGAAAAATACAGGAAAAGACATTAACTAAATCAAATGTTAGAATGAGTATAGACCAAAGGTGATGATGTACCTGTGTGAAAACAAGCAGTGATAAAGCAGGAAAAATAGAATAGGAAAATAAGTTATTCTGTGGCCTAGTGTAAAGGGGCAGAGGGGTGGAGTGCTATTTTTTTTTTGAGGCAGGGAAAATCTGAGCAGTCCTGTAAGTGGCAAAAAAAAAAAAAAAATAGATATGGAGAAAGTGAAGATATGTATGGAAGAAAAGAGATAAGCTATGCCTATTGGAAATACAGGAAGATATCAATTTTGAGTAGGTAAAAACAAAACAAGACAAAACCCTTAGTAGGTGAAAGAATAGACAAATAGATCAGTCGGTCAGAATAGAGAGGCCAGAAATAAACTCACACAAATATGGTCAACTGATCTTTGGCAAAGGGGAATGTAACAGAGTGAATGCAATGGAGCAAAAATAGCAGTTTTAACAAATAGTACTGGAACAATGGAATATCTTCATGGAAGGAGGAGGAGGAGGAGGAAGGGAAGAGGAAGAAGAAGAGGAGGGGAAGGAGGAAAGAAAACTCTAGACACAGACCTAATACTCTTCATAAAATTAACTTAGAATGGATCATAGTTTTAAATGAAATGTAAAAATATAAAATTCCTAGAAGTTAACATAGGGAAAAATCTACGTGACCTCAGTTTTGGTTATGACTTTTTAGATTTTATAAACCAGGGGCAGGATCCTGTGGGCAGCTCACTCCAAGTAGAGGAATGAGAGGGGAAGGACACTGAATATACATGCTAAAGAAAGAATTGGTAAGCTGGGTTTCATTAAAATTGAAAACTTCTGCTCTATGAGACAATGTCAAGAGAATATGATAAGCCACAAACTGGGAGAGACTACTTGCAAAAAAATTATGATAAAAGACCATTACCCAAAATATACAAAGAATTCTTAAAACTCAACAATAAGAAAAGAAACAAACCACTGAAAAATGAGCCAAAGACATTAGCAGACACCACACTGAAGAAGATATACAGATGGCAAATAAGCACATGAAAAGATGTTCTAACTCCTATGTCATCAGGAAATTGCAGATTAAGACAGCTAGGAGACACCGCTCTACACCTATTAGAACAGCAATATCCAGAATGCTGACAACACCAGATGATGGTGACGAAGGGAGTAGAGTAACAGGAACTCTCATTTATTGCTGTCAGTAATGCAAAATGGGACAGTCACTTTAGAAGTGATTTGAATTTCAAACGTTGTTATCATCTAATCTAGCAATCACATTCTTGATATTTAACTAAAGGAGTTGCAAATTATTTTTATCTTCATTTTAGTGAGAATTTAGAGATTTGCTGGACCAATAGATTGGGATGTAAGTGACACTGAGTTTTGGGACACTAGGTCATAAGATGACTTGCAACTTTTGCTTACATATTGGAACCTGCTCTTGGAAGGCTGCTTCTTGTAATGCATTCCCCATGACAGGAGAAGCCAAAGTTGAAAAATAGGTCTACAAGTTACGTGTCCATACTGAACACTCAATAGCCTTCAAGAAGACCTTCACCCCGTCTGACCTCTGATTGAATTAAAGAGCCAAGTGAGAATCTACTAAGTTGAGATCAGTGACACCAGTCAATCAAGAACTGAAAGAGATAAAACAATTTTTCACCCACTAAATGTGGAGTGTTTTTATATATAAACAATTGGGACACATGGAAACATGTTTTTTATTCATTAATCTCCATTTAAAATTGGTATTTCTTTCAGGTATGTGTATAAATAAAACATATACTAGTATTAGCTTTTAGTAGTTTTAGCTTTTATCTGTCACCAATAGAAAACATGGGCAATTTTATACCACATACAGTTGGAATAGATTTTTAAATACTTTTCACAAATATCACTACTACTTTTGAGATTGTTATGTTACTAGGCATGTAAAAATTATTGTTATTAGTGTGTTAATAAAAACACACGAAATTACACATTCATTTTTAAAATTTGCTAAGTCTTTGTTATTGGTTTCCTCTGAATCCTATAAATTTAATTGGAGACATGTCAGAACACTATTCTAAAAGAAAGTTCTTAGGCTTCAAAAGTCCTCAAAAGAAGTTCATGATACAAACATTGTCAAAACATCTGCTTTACAAGTCTCTTTCTTCAAAGATTTTAGCACTTCTATTGCAACTGTCCACTCATTTAGATGTAACAATACGGTTTAAAATACGAGAGGAAAATATACTTAGGTGCGTTGCTAAATTGAAAATGTAGAGTCTGTGTGCACTTGTGTCTGTGCCAGTTGCATCTGTATCAGTTTATCTCTTGTAGAAGCTACTGAATTTACAACCATGTGTACATCAGGTATGCTAAGTGCCTCTCTCTCGTTTATTTCAACAGTAGCATGAGTAACCACTGTTCTGAACTGCTAATTCCCTAAACAGAGGTTTTTAAACAAAGTTTGTGTTAAGAGAACAAAAAAAAAGGAAGATTAATTTTCTCACCACCAGAGAGGTCATCTTCTACTTAAATTAGTAATAGAATACCTATTTCTAAAGTAACGGTGTTCCCAATAATAAACATTTTTACAATTTGATGAACTTTAAAACAATCTACAAGTGAGAATAGACTATTAGGTCACCATAACACCCCCCCCCCCAGAACTCAGTAAATAACAAAAGCATATGTATTACTTATAAATAGACAGCTGCAATTCCAAGGGGCATTCCAGGGTAGCTAGCTCCGTAGGAGAACGCCATGAGGGCTTCCACTGTGTCTGCAACAGTGAAGAGTGCTGGGCATGCCCAAAGCAGAATTAAATGCATGTACGCAGGGTGAAACATGTCATATTACCTCACTCTAATAGAAGTATAATCGTGCAAATGTCTCATGTGTCCAGAAGGGGGAGAACTGGAACTCCGGCTGAGCAGTGTTAGTATCTACCATAAATATATTTACAAACATTTAAATTTACCACAACTCCTAGGCTTAAAGGACTATAGACAAATATTTAGTAAGAGGTTCTGAAGGAAAAGAAGTTAACAAAAATATTCCTATACCTTTCTACTGATTATCAGGAAAATAAAAGGAGCTGTAACTTATGGTATGTGATGAAGCACCGTAAGTTTAATTCTTGTGAGAAATTCACCTAAGCATGTTTAGTCATTTAACAAGGCAATATCTCTTGGCTCTCAGGATTGTTAAGATTCTGTGTTCTTATCTTTCTTACCTCACAAAGAGAGACAACTTACCACATAGCATTTGAATAAGTAGTATTTTTAGGTCCAATGCGTATGTGCAAAGCTCTTGATTTATATGAAAATTGTCACTTTCCATAAAGGTTGAATGGCAAGAGACTGATATGTTGTTTGTAATATTTCTTGCCAAGAAAGGAGACTTAAATTTTCCAATTGGGTTATCTACCTGTTATTCTCAGCACATCACCCCCTCCCAAACACACAAAGAGCAAAGCATAGCCAAAGACAAAGAAATAGTCAGAAATGTTTAGGGGAGAGGAAAAGAAAATCCAAGCAACAATAACAAAAAATAACATTATCAGCAAAGGATGCAAAAACGATGGGGTTTCTAAATTAAAAATGCATTTTAAATAGCAATATAAAAATGACGAAAAATCTCAAGCTTACCAGGTTTTCACCACTCTGTTCATAATGGGGAAGAACAACTTTCACATGTATCTATTATTTTCATAAATATATGTATCCAGAGATATAACAAAATTAGGGATAAATGTGTTATTCCTAAGAGGTCTAGGTTTGTGGGAGAAGGTCAAGGATTCATTATTTTGGGGACTGGAATCAGACCAAATGACCTCATTATTATTGGTTCATCTTAGTGTGAAATGTTTATTTTTTTCTTTCTGACTGTGAAAGTGCCTAGCATAATGAAAGCAGAGCGAAGTGTCAGCTTCTGCTTCTAAAACAAGTGTTGTGAATGTATATCCTAGAAGAATTTCTGTGTATAGAATAGTTTTTTATCACAGTGATTAAGAGAGTGAGATCTTTAAAGCCAGACTACCTAACCTGATGTCCTGTCATAACTTTGCTATGTCTGCAGTAGGTAGCCTATGAGCCTTTTAGATAATCTATACGTGCCTCGATTTCCTCATCAGTAACATGGGGATAGTAATAGTACACAACTCATTAAAATTTTTGATAATTAAATAGTACCCCAAATACAAGGCAATATTCACATAGAATAAATGTTTCCTATTTATTTTTGACCATTTTTTGCATCCTAATCACCTTCCTCCTCATACGCCTCTCCTCTGAGGATCTTATAATCTTTT